TAAACACGTTTCTTTCTTTTTTTCTATTCAGCATTGTAGTGTTTACATTGATGTTTGTTCAGAAAAAAAATCCTCATATCCTATAGTATATACATATCCCATATTTTCTAAATACAAATAAGACATCTCAAAAGACTTTCACATGTCTCCCATGATATTGTTAATATAACAATTATGTGATTTTAGATGTATCCCTCTCTCACAATCTCTCTATTTATCTCTTTATCTCTTTGTGACTGGCTCTATTTCTCTCTGTCTCTGTATCTATATATAAGAGTGTGTGTGTGTGTGTGTGTGTGTGTGTGTGTGTGTGTGTGTGTGTGTGTGTGTGTGTGTGTGTGTGTGTGTGTGTGTGTGTGTGTGTGTGTGTGTGTGTGTGTGTGTGTGTGTGTGTGTGTGTGTGTCTCTCTCTCTCTCTCTCTCTCTCTCGATGTGTGCATATATGTCAACATGTTTGTATACAAGTGTGCATGTAACCAGCTATTTATAACATCTGATGACTAGAAAACAATTATTCTACTAGGGTTTTACTACCAAGTATCATGTAAGATGTGAAAATCATTATTACAGGTCTGTCCTTACCAATTATGTAATAATTAGAGACTGAGTAATGTGAAATGAAAAGTTGTAAGACAAGAAAACACATCAATTATTGTCACTTATATCTTAATAATACATCTCAAGATTATAAGTAAATATAGTAAAGTTTGCCTGCCATACTTTACCTAGCATTTAATGCCATAAAATGTTATACTATTACAGTTCCCATCATATTAAGTCTTATTTTCAAGTAGTTTCTGACTATCATCTTTGGTATCATCAGCCGCACTTGTGGTCGGAAGCAGATCAACACTTTTGTCCTCATCACAGTCTGGCATATCTGTCTGCGGCAGCTCATTCACTGCACTGTCAGTATAATTAGCGCATCCCTGAGCAAAATTACCACTGTCATGTAGACCTGGTACGTCACTTTTTTCATTTTCTTGGGAAACCAGAGGCTGAGTAGGGGTTGGTGTTGACAGTTCATGTACTGGAGCAGTTTGCTGGGTGGGCTGACTCATACTCAACTTTTCAGACTTCCCAACGTCTATTACATGATATTCATCTGATGAGCTTTGAGCTTCGGACAGTGCAGGAAGTGCTGAATGCGGCATACTGGAAATCCCAGAAGTTATACTCCTGGTGCCCCTATTACTTGTGATCCCTGTTCCTGAACCATCTGAAAAAGGGAAATAATATAGAAATCCATAAGCACACACAAACTGCAATATAGCTAATAGTCTATATAAAAGCACTTGCCAGTTCAATTTGGAAACTTTATATACAGGGCACTCATCAAATTTCTTCTATTACAAAATACTTTCTAACCCATCACCGTTGGGTAACAGAAATCCCTGAGCATGATAAACTCTGGTGATCTCTAGCAACGACCAGACAGTGGGTGCAGGAGTCCGCCACAATAAGCAGAACTTCTCACTCCACGCTCTGGCGCATCACTGCGTGTACAGACCAAGCGGTTTGTTCTGATGCCTCAAACTTGTTTCTTTCTTAGGGAATAGGGTGTTACTGCAACTATCTGATCCAGGATTTTTGCTCATTTTCATATAAATGTTTGCTCTACAGATGCCTTTGCTATAACTTAGAATTTGTCCAACATACCTCTATACACCAGATATGAATAAATTAAGAGTGAAACGTAGAAACAAATAATGAAAAACAAAAGACCACTCCCCTCCAAACTATTAGGAAGTCAATTCTTGCAGTTTTTGCAACACGTGAAATATGGCTTGCATGTGACTTCTTCATGTGTTAGTCTAGCCTAGCTGTCTGTCTTTAGCAAAGCCGTTCTGCTTTCAATTATTTCCACTTTTAATGTTCTTAAAATGAATTACCTCAATTATTGGTCTGTTTTAGTTTCTTCACATACTGCTGAATCATTCAAGACATATTAAGAGTAGCATATATGAAATATATGAAAAATAGTACAGAGTGACTGCTGAATAAGCCAAGTGATCCTATAAAATGTATCACTAATACATGATTGCAATCTTTTTCGACATTATTGTCACTTAAATTATCAATTATGTGCCAAAATACTACATACATTTTAACTATTGTTCCTGATGAATTTTTTTAAATGTAGGTTTCTAGAAGCAATTACCCTCAAGGGGATAAATTTAGGAACTAAACTATAGCTCACAGCAGTATGGTCTACAACTAGTAGAAATATTGCCTCACAATCTAAAAGTGTTTCTTTTTATGGATAGAAATTAGAAATACATATAGCTTGACTTATCAGGAGAAAGGTCCTATATTGGTACATCTGAAGATTTTTTGAACACATCTTTCACACATTATGAAATTCAAACATATTTATAGTTTTTTCTCTTTTTGATCTGAATAAATTGAAAAAGAGAATTTTAAACTAATGTCATCTTACCTTGTTTAGATACATTGTTACTGGCTGCAGGTGACCCCTGTCGCAGACCCAAAATCTTGATGTAATTGGCTGGGACTAGACCAGTGTTTTTCTTGTTAGATGCTAAGAGCCATCCCCGCACATTGGGCTGCTGATTCTTGGGGGCTAAAAACAAATATTGGCCAGCACTGAAGGAAAGTTCTTTTTGGTTTCCAGCCTGAAAATGGGGGAAAAATATATTACAAAAAGAATAATTGGCTGACCCCAGCTGTTTCCAATCTCAATGGATGTAACAAGATGAGAAAAGATATTACAAACATTTAAAAGCATCTATTTCTACAAATTCTCTTTATTTGAGAAGATTTTAAAATAATGCTTCACCACTGGCTTCTGGCCAATCAAATCTATGGGAAAATTTCAAATGAGGCACATCCAGTCCTTATTAACATATGTTTAAACTCAGTAAAACTGTACTGTATAACAATAACATCTTTAGATTCACAAGAGAACCATTAACTACGCATTCAAACCATTCCTTTCATGTTACCTGAAAATTATAAGCACCGACAGCAGCATAGTGCTCTCCCTCCCCTGTTACCCAGGCCTTAGTCTTTGACTTGACAGTTGGCGCCAGTGAGGACAAGAGGCGCCAGATAAGATATGGGCCACCGAAAACCACAGCCAAAAACATGACAATTGGCCACGAAGACCTGGAGGCTTTGAGGTCGGCTTCAGTGAGGGGCCCTGCAGGAGACTGGGGGGCACTTCCCGCAGCATGCCAGATGGCCTCCAGGTTGGGGTCCTGACTTCTTAGCCCTTGACGAATTGTGAAAATAAGAGCAAAATATAATAGTGCTGATGATGACAAGGATGAGGATAAGAATGAGGATGAGGATGACGATGAGAATGCAATGAGGATGAGGATGAGGGTGGTGGTGGTGGTGGTGGTGGTGGATGATGTTGATGATGATGATGATGATGATGATGATGATGATGATGATGATGATGATGATGATGATGATGATGATGATGATGATGATGATGATGATGATGATGATGATGATGATAAGGGAAGCAATGGTGATGATGATGATTCTGAGGTGGAAATGTTCTTATATATCTATTACTATTATTGTCATTAAGTAATGTTATTATAATGATACAAAACAGGAAATTTTTAAAAATCTCCTGAAATGAGGTACACAGATGAGGTCAGGTAGGCCTAGTAATTGAGTCCTTTGTGACTAAGGGGCCATTTGTGCATAAATAAATGCAATAAGAGAAATCACAGTAGACTGTGCATATATATAAGTATGTATATATATATATATATGCCCTCATGGCGTATGTATGTGTGTGTGTGTGTGTGTGTGTGTGTGTGTGTGTGTGTGTGTGTGTGTGTGTGTGTGTGTGTGTGTGTGTGTGTGTGTGTGTGTGTGTGTGTGTGTATATATGTACATAAAAAAGCATATAAAACTTACCTATAATATATAAAAGTTTTCTATACAGCCATCGCAGAGTTCTGACTACTGCTAATGCTGAAAAAATCTGAGCAAAGTGGGACTTCATTCTGGAAAAATGCTCTGCGACTCCAAGCACTGCCCGGAAGGAACTGTAAATAAACCAGTGAACTAGATTTATCGGTCCATTTCTTGTCAGAATGTGCCTAAGAACTATATCTATACAACATGCCTTAACTTACACAGAGGGTATATTTCTTACATATACGGTAGCACCTGTGTCACATTATCAAAGCTATATTCTCTACCCATGAATGACATGCCTAAATGCCAGACTGCTTAGCGACGGACCTTACTGGAGAAAAAAAGGGACAAATTACAACTGTGCCTCCAAATGGAATCTGTTTATTTGGGAATCTATTAATCCCAAAATTACATAAACCATCTTTAATCTTTAGCTCACATCCGACGACCTTTACAGTCCATCTTGCTTCAATTGCTGTAATTGTAATTCTGATTTGGCATGTGTCTTTGTTTGCTATAATGATCATGCTATCTATGTAGTTCTCACTGAAAAATTTTCAGAATGCTAAAATATAAATGCAAAATATACATATTGCTAAAATTATCAGCTTCATCCATTATCAAAATAGAACTAAAGAGAACAAAACAAAATCTTACCTGTGAACAGCATGGTAGGTGGACTCAAGCATCATACTAACTGAGCCAAAGGCATGAACAATACTTTCTATACTTTGGAAGGCTTGTCTCGAACTTTCCTCGGCAGCCTGTATAAATCTGATAAAAATATGTCGTTAATAATTTCTGTGAGTATAAAAATACATGTTCCTGCTAATGCTTGCTCAAGTACTTTTATATAAAAAATGCACCATATTCACAGATTAAAGCAACATGTGTATATCACATACTCAAAATCACCTGAATTAGTTGGGTTAACATTTTTCTGGTAGTCATCTAAATATATTAGCTCCTGATGCAAAGGTATGTCTAAAGGTATTTTTTGCCTTCACACCTTATATCTATTAAATATATTATCTAGTGAAATATAGTCCAGGGGACATACTAACAATAAATATTTTGTATAAAAAAAACACCAATTCATGCCTGGTTTCCACTGAAAATCTTACAACACCAAACACTGTTCTCACCTTAACTATTGACTTTATTGTCCTGTTTAACCTATGAAATAGTTATAATACACATATAATAATAATACACATATGATAAAACTAAGCCTGCTATGCTGTCCATACAAGGCAAAAATCAGAGACAATCCTAAGATGAATACCCCAAAATGGATTGATAAGTAGAAAATGAGAGGAGGGTGCAGTGAATAATGCATTTCAAGAAATCAAGCACAGAAAAGCAGTAAAAATAAGAGGAGATCACTGAAAGGGGTGGGAGAACTCCTAACGTTCTAGCAAGGTGGAAACAGACTTATAATTTACTGGATATTGATAAGGCCATTAATGTAGAAGGAGAAATAAGGTACAAATAAAGAGCCTGAAACATAAAATAGATCCTACATGCAAACACATACACAGAAATGACAACCCAGAGAATAAATGTAAATAATAAAAAAGAGATTACAAACTCTTGGATAAACAGAAAGACTATATGCTACCACTTCTTAGACCTACTACACCAACGGAGTGATAACGAACTCTTACCCATTTTCATCGGGACCCAGCTCCCCTCCCATTCCTAATCGGTTGTATCCCCCATACCCGCCATAGCCCCCAAATGCCCCCATTCCTCCCCCATAGTACGGGGAACCTCCAAAGCCTCCATATGTGCCAAAGGAGTTGTAGCTTCGATAGGCGGGAGTGCTGGTCCCATAGTTTGTGGGTCGGGGGGGGAGAGGAGGCTGATAATTCGAGGAGAGGTTGCTGGCACTGACTCCTCCACCCCCTCCACTCTGGGCCATGTGTGGAGGTGTTGTGACAAATCTGAAAAAAAGATCATGAGTGAGTTTAAGCAAGAATTAAAAGTCACATATATCATAAATAAAAAATAAAAAACTAGCAATCATGGTCTATTGTTGTTCTTTCTTATTGTCTATACAAACCTTATGTAAATGCAATAACATAGAAAAAAATAACAATCTCATAAACTTATTGAACCTTAAGAAAATTATTTTAAAAGATCATACACATAAAACATTTCTTGAGAGATAAAACCTAATTATACACTAAACATGTATGCTAAGTTCATAACACCACCACTAATATTATTGCATCAAGTAACATCCTACAGTAAGACATCATAACACATTCTTTAAGATCTAATATAGCTTCTCTTGTCAAAATAAGCATCTGTCAAGTTCATAACTGCGAACACTCTCAGAATGCATGTGTTTGTATGTGTGTACGTGTTTAGATAGACAGATAGATATACACAGATATCCTGGATATAGATAGACATAAGTAGACATAGATGGACATAGATGGATATAGACAGATATAGATAGATATAAATAGATATAAATAGATATAGATAGGTAGATAGGTTGATATAGATACAAATATAAAGAGAGAGAGAACAAGACTGACATTTAACACAAGCAAACTTGGTATTTTTACTATAACTAATGTGCCAACCATCTTTTGTTATCAAATGTAGCCTAAATCTGTAGGGAGATGTCCTTCCTAAATATGTTATCTCAAGTACCTGTTTAGACTTGAATTTAGTCTACTATGCCACTTAAAATTTTTGTTTACCAAAACCTGTAATACTTGGTGCATAGGCAGGCAGAAGAGGGAAAGTATCTACCTGGCCATAACTACAATATTTCTAATATGAAGAATTTATTTTGTGTGAATTTTCTTTTCCAGGTAGTATTTTCCATAACATATTCTAAGACACATTAAAGAAGTGTTAGGCCAGTGGTTTCCAACCATTTTACACTCACAAAGCCTTGGACTTACAATATAACCACAATTTTTAAGCAGCTTTTAAATTACATTGGATGCTTTAATGTAATATACATGTAATTTTCAGAACAATTTTTGCCACAATTTATATCTTAAGTCCACCAGACTAGACATTGTCAAGAATTCAATAACTTGCTCACAGACTCTTTTGTGCAATTTTGCAAATTGTGCACACAAATAACCTCAATCATTCTATGGCTACACAAACTTATGATAAAATCATAATTTTCTAAGGAGGATACCTTATCATTTCTAATAAAAAGACCTACATCGTTCTGTGGAGACCCAGCTCATTTTTTCACAAGCAGTGGTCTAGCCATTGTCTACAATCATCTTGGAACTTGAATATTCTTATGGAGTTACATCATCATCAAAAGCATTCTGGAGCCAGCCTAGACATGCCAAACCTAGGAGTGTGAGTGTAATTAAACTGCAGCCTTACAGCGGCAGTTGGAAGCTCAGGGACCAGAGCTGAGATTGGTTGACACACCAGAACAAGATCTGGTGGAAGTTAAGTGGCCTTTGCCTGAACACAAAAGGCACAGTAGTCGCAGCAATCTCTGGATGTTACGCCCTCATCAGGGCTGCTTAGCAAGTTGATAATAAAAAAGTTGTGCAACATGTAACACTTTGGTATACAATTACAGGAAAATGTAATGGCACTATA